CCCCACCCTCCCCCCTCCCCCCCCTCACCCCCCCTCCCGCCCACCCTCCCACCCATCTCCCTTCCCACCTATTCCCCCTTTCATCCTCCCATCCTTCCTCCCATCTTCCCACCCATCTTCTTATCCATCTTCCCAGCTCCCCTTCCATGCAGACTCTCAACCTCTGCTCCTTCTCTTCGCTCCTTCCGTATAGTCTTTACCGAGCATCTTCTCTGGTCTGGGCCCTAGGGATACAATAATGAACATGACAGTCACCTTTCTCCCAGAGGGAGGCAGACAGGGAGGCCATAGTGTCCCCCTACCTTTCTTTGGATGAAATCTCACCCAGAATCATGACACCGAACACCAGTAAATCCCAGATACCCTAGAGCTCCAAAGGGGCCTAGTCTATAGACCACAGATCAGGTCAGACCCTTCCATTTTAGTGATAAAAAAAAATGGACTCAGGTGGGTGATGTCTTCAAAATCACATAACGAGCCAGTGGTGCAGTCTGGATCAAAACTCTGTTCTCCTGCAGGCTCTCCAGCCCCAGGGAGATGTATGGGCCCCTGACACCCCCATTGGGCCCATGGTCACCCACCTTTCCTGTGCAGGAGATGGAGAATGCAAAGGCCGACCCCCTGCATGGCCTGCGGGTGCACTCCTGGGTCCTGGTGTTGTCAGGAAAGCGTGAGGTGCCTGAGAGCTTTTTCATTGACTCTTTCACGGCGCGCAGCTACAGCACCCAGAATGACCACTTCCTGGGCATTGAGAGTCTCTGGAACCACAAGAACTACTGGGTCAACATGCAGGACTGTTGGAACTGCTGCAAGGTACCAGGCACGGCCTGGATGAGTGTCGCAGGTGTCATGGAGGGAGGGCGGTAAGGAGGAAGTGATCTGGGAGAAGGCTGGCCACCAGGCCATGAGGGCCTTGGTCTTTCCTTAGAGCTGAATCCCCATGGGCCACTCCATTGCCCATAAATAACCATTCTAATGTGCTTATTATCTCTCTGTTGTGTACCCTTACAAAATGTGGGTTGTTAGTTTGTATGAATGATTTTTTAAAACATTGTATTAAAGTGCAAACACATGCAGAAAAGTGCACTCACCCTATGTGTACAGCTCAATGAAGTGCCATAAATGTGTATACTGTATATATAAAACCAGTGCCACTTTCAAAAAAATATATTCACACATTTTGAGGAAGGTCATAATTAGACACAAGAGATTTTCTGGGGTATGAGCAATATTTATTGCTTGATCTGGGTGCACAGAACCCGGCTGCATTCAATTTATGGAAATTCATTTGAGCTGCATACAAATCAAAAGAGAACAGGCTCCCGGCTCCAAGTCTGGCTCTTCTGTTATTTTCAAACTCCTCCATTTCCAACCAGGACAGTCTCCCAAGTTCTTGGGCCCCTTGCCCACTATTTCTAAGTGACACTGTCCAAGGGATTGCTATCGCCCCCTGCGGGACACAGGCGGAACTGGTGCGCATGCAACCCAGTGAAGTCACTCTGCCGAAGTAACATGTTCTATGTTCTGAGATGGAGAAACTTCTTGCCTCAGCGAAGGAGGAACCAGCCCTCCTCCCTGACCTCTGGCCTCCCTTAGCAGCTGATTCTAGGGTTTGCTTAGCATTCACTGACCTCACAGGGTTTTGAGAAATAACGGTCAGTAGGTACTTTGAATAGTCCTGTCTGTTGAGTAAATGTTAGCTATTATTACCCTCATTTTACAGAAAGAACTTGACCACACCACACAGATGGAGCAGAGCTGAGCCTGCCCTGCCCTAGAGCCCGGACTCATAACTGCCATGGTGGTCAATGCCTTCTGAAAGTTAATGGCCCCTCAGAGGCTACTCTAGTCCTTCCCCCCTCTTCTAGGCTGCAAGTCCTTCAGCTTCCCCTCCCAGCACACCCTTGCCCCAGTACTAGGTGAAGGAAATTTATGACAGAGATAACAGACCATAATTAGATGAGATGAAGATGGAAGGGTGGCCTGGTGGGAAAGTGAGGTCAGAGGGGCAGTACTGCATCACCAGGTGAGGGCACAAAGAGAGAGATCATGACACTGGCTGTCACTTTTACTGCCAAATGAGCATGGGAGCAGCTACTTTGTTCCTTCAAAGAAATGTGACATGGCACTGGGGGCAGGCAGAGGTGGGGAGGCACCTTCACAGAGACTTCCTGGCGCAAACGCACCCTAGGCTCAGGGCCCGTGGTCATTGTGCACTCATTTATGCTTTTGCTATAGAAATAGAAATTGAAGTTAAAGCCGGAAGGCATCTTACTGCTTACAAAAGGAAGACAAGCATTAAAGAAATGCAAACGCCTGTACAATCTGGTCCTCTGCTAAACCTTGGCTACCTGCAGTCGCTGTTAACATCTACAAGCAGTTCTCTCCCTCCCTTTCCTCTGCCATGCCCCCGTGTCCTCCCCTGACCTCCCAGCTAGAGCAGAGTGACGCAGGAGGCTCCCAGGACTCAGGCAGGTGAAGACTAGGATTGGGACCAGCCTCAAGAGAGCTTCCTGCTGGAACCCTGTGGGCAGCTGTTCTTGGCCTTTGGTCTCACTCTGGGACACTGATTTTGGGGCATTGGGGGGATGGCACGCCACCTTGGGGAGGCAGATTGGAATGTTGGGTGCTTCCCACCTTCTGGGAGTTACCTGGCAGGTGAGCCTAAGCTCAGGGCTAGGATGCAAAAAAGGTAGAAGACCTGCAGGGAGGAGAAATTCCCACCTGCCTTCTCTGTACAATTTAGTTCCTCTCCATGCATGTGCCTACCTGGTTCCTTTCTCCCTGGCATGGGTGAAAAACATGAGGAGGCTTTTTTCCAAACCTGCCTTCTCCTCCTCCTATAAAATCTCTCTGGCTTTTGTTTGCTCTAATTGCGTCCTGGGACACTCCCCAGACAATATAGAATGACCTCCACATCCAGGCCTATCCTAGGCCAGAGTTTCCAAATTTGTTCCAGAGATCAACAGCGAGATGTCTTCATAGAGAGAGTGAATGACAGGAAGGAAGTCGCAGCCCCCCTCAGGGCCTAAGGTGCCCATTGAAATGATGAGGGTGGGTGACTCTCAGAGGCTACCTGGACCTCACATGCTGCCCCTCTGACACCTGGGCCACGCCCTTGTCTACTCTGGGGGCAGCTGTCTCCCACTGCCCTGTGGGGCAGGAGGGGCCGTGGAGACTGAGAGGCACTCACTTGATCCCTCCCCCATCAGGACCTGATCTTTGACCTGGGAGACCCTGTGAGGTGGGAGTACCTGCTCTTGGGGACGGATAAGTCTCACCTGTCCATGACTAAGGAAGACGATGAGGGGATGAATGATGACGATGATGTAGAAAACCTGGTGAGTCTCAGCAGCATGGGGCTGGGGGCAGGGGGGTCGGGGGCTTCATAGCCTATCTTGCTTCAGGCAAGCCTGACATATGTCCCCAGCACATGTATGTATACTGAGGTACAGGCCAGATAGACCAAACATAGATTCCTCAAAGCAGAAGGGCCTGGACCATGCCCTCATTTTACAGATGGTCAAACTGGAGCCCAGAAAGGTACAGTAGGGAAGGGGAGAGCTGGGATTTGCATTCAGGTTTCCTACCCTACACAGTCCACCCTGTTCAGGTGGATGGTAGAGAGCATGCGCCCCCTGGAGTATGGTGATAAGACCTTCTGCACAAGCCTGAAGAGTCCCAGGGCTGGCTACTCCTTACTTCCAGGCCTTCCTTATAGCCATCACAATCCCTCCATGCACTTCCAGGCCTTTCTTGCTTGTCTTATTTGCCCTTCTTAAGGTCATTGGCCTGGGGCCTTCCCCCAGCCATCAGCATCCCTATCCATCCCCTGGTCAGGGTCTTCTGGGCAGATCTCCATGAATCCCTGGGCGTGGAGGTTTTAGCTATTGACTGTGACACCTTGGATGAACTTCCTAATCATTGGAAGCTTCAGTTTAATCATCTGTATGTAGATTAGGGGAGTAGGGCTTCTTATATTCATAGTAAAATTAGTAGGTTTGCTAGGACTGCCATAACAAAGTTCCAGGACTGGGTAGCTTCAACTATAGAAACTTATTGTCTCACATTTCTGGAGGCTTGAAGTCCAAGATCAAGGTGTCAGCAGGGTTGATTGCTTCTGAGGCCTCTGTCCTTGGCTTGTGGATGCTGTCTTCTCCCTGCATCTTCACATGGTCTGTGTCCTAATCTCTTCTCATAAAGACACCAGTCATACTGGATTATGGCCCACCATAATGATCCCATGTCTCGCCAATGGGTTTCAGCCCCAAGCAAGTTCACTATGGATTCAATGTGACCAAAGAAATGACAGTAGAACGTTCTTGGGGTGAAAGGGTTATACCCAACTTTATTTCCATGGTGGCAGGTCAATCACTAAAATTCCGTTCACTCAGAAAGTCTGCATACAGCAAGCCGGTCTCTGCCTCTGGGCCTTTCTGCCCGCATAGTTGTCCCACATACCTGTCCTCTGGGCCCTCTGCCCACACAGCCATCGTCTGGGCCTCTCTGCCCACACAGTCATCCCACACACCTGTCCTCTGGGCCTCTCTGCCTGCACAGCCGTCCTCTGGGCCTCTCTGCCTGCACAGCCGTCCTCTGGGCCTCTCTGCCTGCACAGCCATCCTCTGGGCCTCTGTCCTCAGTACTGTCACCACTCCAGCCTCTGCTCTCCTGCAGCCTTGCAGCCGTGCCACTGTGTCGCCCAGAGCACTGGGCGGAGCTCTCTATATAGAGTCAATAACAATGTATTGCCCACACATGTGTAGTGAGCTAGCCAACAGGGCCAGGTGAGAATCCTGGGCACAGGAGCTTTCATTCTATCCACACTCCACCCCTCCAGGATTCTCTCCTCTCAATCTATGTGTCCTCAGTCCTCTGCAGTGGTCCCTGTGCAAGGAAGCTGGAACATTATAATCAAACTCCACAACAACATAATGCAATATACAAATAACAGAAATTATAAATTATAATAACCCTCAAGCCTGAGGAGATCCATTGCCACTAAATGGTCATCCTGGCTGTATTCAAACCAGTTCTACTCAAATGAGTTAACCAAAAGAACCATGGGTGGGCCTTATAATACCCTCTTCTCTAATTTTTCCAGCAAAAAGTCTTGCAGGCACATAGGCCGGACTTGTGGCTCTGTCTCTGACCTCTGCCTCCTTGATCTTAATGGCTGAAACTGCTGCTGTGGTTTCAGTTGTTGCCATATGTGGATAAAATGAGAGTTCCTATGGCTAGGATTCTCACCTGGCCCTGGTTGACTAGCTCACTGCACACCTGTGAGCAATACATGGCTGTTGACTCTATAAAAAGAGCTCTGCCCAGTGCTCTGGGCATGACAGGATGGCAGGGCTGCAAGGCTGCAGGAGAGCAGAGCAGAGGCTGGAGTGGTGGCAGCACCAAGGACAGAGGCCCAGAGGACAGCTGTGTGGGATGACTGTGCAGAGGCCTGGAGGACAGCTGTGTGGACAGAGGGGCTCAGAGGCAGAGACCGGCTTGCTGCATGCAGACTTGCTCTGAGTGAATGGGATTTTAGTGACTGACCTGCCACCTGGAAATAAAGTTGGGTATAACCCTTTCACCCCAAGAACGTTTTGCTGTCGATTTCTTTGGTCACACTGAATCCATAGTGAACTTGCCTGGGGCTGAAACCCATTGGCAAGACACCATAGATCTAGTAAGAGCCTATTTGATTTCCCGTCTAATTTCCTTCCACCTGCTCCTGCCCATATTAAATCAACCCACATCTGGGTCCTTGTAACCTTCAAGAGGCCCTTTAAATTCTTCTTGTGAGTAGCAGACCTTATTTCTTTCCATGTTCTCATTGCTTCAGCCTCTCCCAAGTCGGCTACTGTATGTGTCACCTTGCTTATGGGCTGCCCTGAGGGAAAAGAATGGCCACTAGAGATCCAAAGAGGGATGTGGGAGCCATTTGAAGCACAATATATTTCTCATCCCAGTAGTGAAAATCTCTTCACCTGGGTTATAATTCTCTGGACTATAGATGGCATTTCTTATGCCTAGCTCACGTAGCACCTGTTGGAGCTCAGCAAACGTCTGCCACCTAACAGGAGAGGATGGTAGATCACCCTGATTGGGCTACACAGCACAAAGTGCAGCCATAAGCCAATCGAGGAGGAAGTGACTCCCTGGAGTCTGATATGCATTTTGTAATTGCTGCCTCAAGGCGGGCTGCACCATCAGGGAAGCCAGCTTTCCCACCTCTGATCCCAACAGAACAAGTCCATCCACCTCTAAGTCCCACAGATGCAGGAGTCAAGCTAATAGTGACTCTGAGGGCTTCTGCCTAAACTGGGAGCCCAAATCCACCAGCTCAGCCTGAGTAGAGGGACGGACCATAGAGTGCTCCACCACCTGGGGAGGGGGCTGCTCCTCTCCATGGGGAACTTTGGGCTGCTGGGTCTTTATTTTCTTTACAACCACTGGGGTGATTTCAATACAGGAGGGGTCAGTGCCTTTGGCACCATCCCTTCATCCTTCCCCAGCTCCTCCATTTCCGGGGCTGATATCACCTTTCTCTCCCCTCCCCCAAGTGCCTCCTCTGCTACAACCTTTACCTTTTCTACTGTGCCTTGCAGCAATGCTACCTCAGTCTTCAGGTCTCTTACCTTCACCTCAATGCTTTGCAGCTGGTGTTCTCATGCCACCTCTGCCTGTGCTTCCCTCAGGAGTTTGTCTTTTTCTTGATCTCCTTTTCCTCCAGAGCACCTGACAGCACTGCCATCTCGATCTGTAAGGAATCTCTTACCTCTTCAATGGCACCTCGCTGCTGGCAATCTTGTGCTGCCTCCTCTCGCATCAATGCCATTTCCTTCTTCAGGGAATCCACAGACGTTTGCAGCTCATGTTCTCATGCTGCCATTTCTTGGGTCTTTTTCAGGAGCATGTCCTTCTCTTCTGCAGACTTTTTCAGTACTGTGAGAAGCAGCCAACCCACAGTCTCCACTGCCTCATGGGCACTCTGTCTCTCAAAAGACCTACTTACTATACCAAGGGCCACCCCTACTGCCTCAGGCATCACCTCCACTTGCCTCCAGTCCTGGGGTGGTGCCCAGCCCTCCAGGAGGCAAGCCTCCTCAGACCACATACCCACTGGGGGACAATCCACTGTCTCCCCATTCACAGGGGCAGCCCGCTGAAGCACCCCTCCCATAAGGGCAGCCCGTCTTTTTCCTTGGTCAACAATGAACTCTGCCGACTTCACCAATTGTCTTGCCAATGGGTTTCAGTCCCTAGCAAGTTCACTATGGATTCAATATGACCAAAGAAATGACAATAGAACGTTCTTGGGGTGAAAGGGTTATACCCAACTTTATTTCCATGGTGGCAGGTCAATCACTAAAATCCCGTTCACTCAGAGAGGTCTGCATGCAGCAAGCCAGTCTCTGTCTCTGGGGCCCCTCTGCCCACACAGCCGGCCTCTGGGCCTCTGTCCTCGGCATGGCCACTACTCCAGCTTTTGCTCTGCTCTCCTGCAGCACTGGGCGGAGCTCTCTATATAGAGTCAATAGCAATGTATTGCCCACACGTGTGTAGTGAGCTAGCCAACCAGGGCCAGGTGAGAATCCTGGCCACAGGAACTTCCATTTTATCCACACCCCATTTAGCTTAATTACCTCTTTCTAGAGTCTATCTCCAAATAGTCACATTCTGAGGTACTGGAGGCCAAGACAGGAATTCTGGGGGGACACAGTTCAGCCCATAACATCAGGTAACACTCATGTGGCCCTTACTAAATGCCAGTAGGTGCTTAACCTGAATTAACTTGTCTAAATCTTCCCAACCACCCATAAGGTGGGTATCATTAATACTATCATCCATGATTATTACCATCCCATTTTACAGATAGGAAGACTTATACACAGAGGGGTGAAGTAACTTACCCAAAGTTATACAGCCAGCAAGTAACAGAGCTGGGACTTGAATCTAGGATAGTCTGGCTTCCAAGTCTGGGTTTTCAACTGTGTTCTCAGCGTCCTCTCTCCAGAAACCAGAGAGCCTGCACTGTACACTAAATCCTGGGGCATAGCGCCCCCTGCTAGCTGTGAGACCTGGCCCCATTAGATGAGCCAATTTCAGAGGTCTGAGCAATGTTTGTGGGAGGTTTTAAATTGAGAAAAATCTCATCCAGGTTTTTGTGGTTTCCCAGGCTTCTGTGGTTACCTCAATAAATGGTCGAGTACCATCTTTGAGTTACAGATGGGGGAAACTAAGACTCGGAGAGAAGTAAACCGACAATGGCAGCCAGGCAGCCTCCCAAGTCCTTTATGTACATTCTTTGTTAATCCTCCTGCGGGTTCCAGTTTACAGTTAGAGAAGTGAGGTTCAGAGCAGTTTAGGGACTTGCCCAGGACCCCTTAGCTGGTGTTGGATGGAGGGTGGGGCTTGGGTCCACCTGACTCCAAAAGTCCTTCTCTGAGAAGGGCCTGTGGCTGGACCTCTGCTGACTGAGGGAGGTGGGGCCTGTGGGCCGGAGCTGCTGTCCTAGCCCTGCGGGTGCACCGCAAGCAACTCTTCTTCCTCCCTATCTTGGGTCATGCCAGGTCAGAACTGCCTGTGACCTCCGGCTCCCTGGGGACACTGATGGGCTACGCCGGCTTGGCCCATAAGTTCTGCCCCAGGGCTCAGCCCTGACCAGAGCTAGCTCACCGGCCCCCACCTCTCCCAGCAGGACAAGGAGGATGAGGATAAGAGCTTTGACATGCCACAGTCGTGGGTGGAGCAGATTGAGATCTCTCCAGAGGGTAAGTGCAAGCCAGGGTCACTCCCCTTCCAGGACTGGGTGGTCCTCTGGGGAGGTCTGCAGCAATAGCTCAGCAGGGGAACGCCAGCACAGGCGGCCCCAGCCCCTCATTCCCACCCCTCCTGCTTTCTGCTGCACCCTTGTCCTTCCTCCCCACCTCACACACTCAGCCCTGTGGCAGAGGGGGTCTGACACCAGCCTGCCCTACAAGCCTGCCCTACAGGAGGGGGCCCAGTTAGCAGCCACTGGATGATGGATTGTGGGATGTGAGGGAGGAGCCATTCCCCTCCCTCACCCTTCTCTGCTTGGAGGGAGCCATACACAGTACCCAGAGAGCTCCGGGAGAGGGTGTGTGTCAGGACCGGGGAGGAGCAGGAAGACAGACACTTACATCCCATGCCAACCTCTGCTGGCTGCTGAGGTTCCCACCTGGGAGGCCTAGGCGCACCGGGAGCTGGGTGTAGACCATTCCCACAAGGTGGGAAGGGCTAGAGATGCTGTCATGGGAACCCATGGGAGGAGCCAGCTCAGCCCCAGTGGGTGGGGCAGGGGGGTGGGGTGGGGCAGGAGGGATTCCAGGAGGAGGGCCATCTGCGTTAAGCTTTGAGGGATCAGAAGGCAGCCCAGTGAGAGCAGGAGAGGGTGGTGTTTCCAGCAGAGATACCCTCACAGGCAAAGGCCTGGCAGGGAGTGTGTGGTGTTGAAGGCCCAGCCCCTCTGATCAGACTCATCCTGAGAACTCCAGGTCAGAGGCCATCTGGTGACTGTTCTGCTCTGCCTCCCTGGAGCAGGCTTGGGGCCTGGAGGAGTTTAGTAGACAGCACAGTGGACAGTGGCTGGATGAGTGGCTGGGTGGGGTTGACTCTCCCTTCCCTGATCTGGGAAGGAAGAACCCCAGCCCCCTCTGTATCACAGCGTTCGAGACCCGCTGCCCAAACGGTAAGAAGGTGATACAGTACAAGAGGGCGAAGCTGGAGAAGTGGGCCCCATACCTCAACAGGAATGGCCTCATGTGCCGCCTCACCACCTATGAGGACTTGGAGTGTAAGTGGGGCAGTCTGGCTGCAGGCAGCAGGAGAGCTGGGGCCCCCACTGTGCTGTGTAACCTTGGGCACATCACTACCACTCCCTTGTTGTGAATGTGGGCCCTGCTGGCCTCTGTGTGCTGGAAATGGTGGGACAGAGGCTGGGGGAGCTGGCCTGGGTGCACCAAGCACCAACTGGGCCCAACAGGTACCAAGGTTTTGGAGATAAAGGAGTGGTACGAGAACCGGGAGGACATGCTGCAGCTGAAGCACATAAACAAGAGCACAGGCCTGAATACTGACTACTTCAAGCCAGGCCACCCCCAGGCTCTGCGTGGTGAGTGGACCCCCATTGCTGGGCCAGCTAGGAGCCCAGGGTGGGCCTCACACACCTCTTAAAGCAGCCTCTGTGGCTGACAGGTGGCGGAAGGAACCGGCACCCCTGTATTGATAGGATTCTTGCGAGTAAGCAACAGAAACTGCCCTGCCTCCCTGAGCAAACCAGATGTGTGGGAGGTCAGGAGATGAGAAGAAAATCCAAGGAAGCCTAGAAATGTTCCGGCAGGAAAGTCAAAGCCAGGGCCACACGCCTGTTCTATAGTTGGGATCGGGCACCCAGTGGGGACCACATTTATGGGGGGTCAGGATGCTGAGCACTAAAACCAATAAATGCCCCCACAAGGGCAATGCAGAGAACGTAGAGAGTGTGCACATGGCCATGAGCTCAGGAGCCTGGGAAGGGAGGGAAGGACATGCCTTGAGAGAGAATCAACAGCATTAACTAAGAATTCACAAGAGAAAAAAATGGGGTCAATATATATCTAAAAAGATGATTAATCTCACTTTGTGGTTGAAATTAAAAAAAATGAAACCTAAGAAGGGACGATCTTACAACCCTCATGTTGACAAAGATGAAAAAAAAAAGGTCCTATCTGGTGTGAGCAAGTGTGCAAAGCAGCAGTCAATCCCTATCCCTACTGGTAGGACAGCAAATTGGCACAACTTTTCTAGAGGGCAGTTGAGCAAAATAATCAATTGTAGCTTTAAAATATGTGTGCTTTTTGACCAGTTCTACTGCTCAGAATTAATTAGTCTTGGGCAAATAATGGGCAAGAATAAAACAATGCATGATGCAGATGATTCACCATGGTGTTGTTTATAAAAAACAAAAAGGTTGGAAACAGCCTAAATACCTAGCAGTAGGGAGTTGGTTACATACCTAATGCTCATCCATGATGTACCATCTCCCTGGGGTCTAGGGTTGGGTTTTCCAGACAGTGGCCAGAGCTCCTGGTGCTCACCCAGCCCTCTCCCGGGCTCCCTACCTCCCACTGCAGTACACTCATATACATCTGTGCAGCCTGAGATGGACCGGGTCATGGAGTTTTACGAAACGGCCCGTGTAGATGGCCTGATAAAGCGGGAGGAGACACCCAAGACGATGACCGAGTACTATCAAGGCAGGCCCGACTTCCTCTCCTACCGCCATGTCAATTTCGGGCCCAGGGTCAAAAAGTTGACTGTGAACAGTGCAGAGTCAATTCCCCGGCCCAAGAGGTTGACTGTGAACAGTGCAGAATCAAATCCCCGGCCCATGGTGGTAAGTGCTCGTGGGGCCTGGGCGCAGGCTGAGTTTACCCAGGATGGGGAGAACCCTAACCCTGGAGCCTCACCTTTCCCAAGTTATGATCCTGGGGCTGTCTGATGCCAGACTCTGCCCTCAGTATCATTTCCTAACTATTATAATGTGCACACTCCTGACCAAACATTTAGGGAATCTGGAAAAATATAGAGGAAAGTAAAAATACCTCAGAATGGCATCTCTCAGATATTACCATGTATAAATAGGTTTGGTTTTGAGAGTCTTTTCTAGCTTGTTTGGGATGTGTGTATAGATAGAATCCTTGTATCACCCACTTAACATTAAACTGTGCATTTTGTTTCCTCATGTCATCACAAATTATTTGGCACCTGTGTTTAATGGCTATATGCCCAAGAAACTCTTTCTAGCTGTAAAGGGTGTCTAGTGATACGGCAGGATGCCTGCAGAGGTGGTGAGCTCCTCTTATGGGGGACAGTCTTATGGGGGGAGGGCTAGAGAAGAAATCCAGCACTGAACAGGGCTGAGGTGGCCTGGCACATGAGAACTCCAGGGCCTTGAGAGCCAGTGTCCAGCTAGGAAGGGCCGCTCCACACAAACCCCTGTGACCCCAGGCCCCAGTGTCCCTGTGTGTCCTTTGCTCCTGCCCTGGGAGGCACACAGAGAAACCCCCTTTCCCACCTCCCACCCTATGCATATTCTGGCTGCCCAGAAAATCACAGAGCGATTCTTCCACAACCCCGAGAAGCCTGCGGATGAGGATGTGGCAGAGCGTGTGTTTCTCATCCTGGAGGAGTGCATCCAGCTGCGCTACCACTGCCGTGAGGACCACATCACAGTCAACACGTGCGAGTTCCTGCCGTGCACCGAGGTGGACAGCAAGGGCAACAAGATCATGACGCCCGACATGTGTGTCAGCTTTGAGGTGGGCCTAGGGGCTGTGGCCGGCACGAGTGGGTGGCAGTGCGGGGAGCAGAAGGCCCTGGGGCCCTCTGTGCCATCCCAGCTTGGGATGGAAACTCCTGCTTCCCAGCTGGGAAATTCATCTCTGCCCCTTGGGAAAATCAAGAGCTCCCATCTGAGAACCCTTCTCTTTGCAGCTTCCCTGAAAATCTTCCCCCTTTCCACCAAGAATACCCCTCATCGTCCCTCCTTTCCCAGATCCTGGGACCAGCACTGGTAGGAGAAGACCCCACCACCTCCACTGGTCTGTTTCTTAGTTCAAATCCTCACTCTGCCGGCACACTCCTTAGCGCCTCTGAGCCTCCAGTTCCTCTTCTATATATTTTATAGGTGAGAAAACTGAGGTCCAGACAAATTAAGCAAGTTGTTTGAAGTCACACAGCTAGAAAATAGCAGGGGAATATCTGAACCCAATTGGTCTAGCTCCACAGTCTGCCAGGACCCCAGCCATTGCTGCCTGTCCACATCACTGTGGTGGTTGCTGTCCCAGGTGGAGCCCTTGGAGCACACCAAGAAGCTTCTCTACCAGTATGAGGCCATGATACATCTGAAGAACGAGGAGAAGTTGTCCAAACATCAGGCCCGGGAGTCAGAGCTGGAGGTGGGTTCCCATGGAAGAGTGGGTGGGTGGGAGGTGGCAGGGGTGGGGGGTATTAACAGTGCCCTCCCCCACTTCCCCGTTCAGGTGCTGGAGATCCTGAAGCTTCGAGAGGAAGAGGAGGAGGCACACACATTGACCGTCTCCATCTATGACACCAAGCGCAACGAGAAGAGCAAGGAGTATCGGGAGGCCATGGTAACATTTGCTCCTTGGCCCAGGCCCTGGCTTTTCCTGGAACTCCCCTGGCCTCCAGGGTGATGAGGATGATTAGGGAGGCTGTGGGAAGCCCTTTATAGGGGATGAAGTTATTGACCCCACTGTGGTTATCCTTGCTGCCTAGCTGACCATTTCTAAGGCTCGCCCCAAAGAGTACCCAGGATCCAGGCCAGGTCTCCCCCCACCTCCAGGACTATGGCCAAGCCAAGGCCTCTACTGCATGAGGGAAGAATTAAAACTGTGCACTCACCTCCACTGGGGGCTCCCCTTGGTGTCACAACCTGGGCCAGTAGCCCCAGTGAGCAACTCTGATCACATGCCTGAGTTCTCTGGCCCCTGCGGCACATGGCATTCAAGTTACACCAAGCTGCAAGGCCCAGCTTGGTTTTGAGGCCAGTTCCTAAATCCCTTCACCAACCAAGTGAAGATTTCTAAAAGTAGTTTGGGATTGGGAAGGCAGGACAGGGCATCAAATGACTGGTTCTCAGACTCCCAGAGATGGGTGATGGCCCCCACATCTCCAGTTTCACAGGCCTATCTGCCAACACAGAACATAAAGCCCTGGGGCGAAAGAAAAAGGGAATTACTGGCACTTTTTGATTTAACATCATTGTAACTATCATCTAGTGCCATTTATTGAGCAAGCATCTACTGAATGTTAGGTACATGCTGAGGCTCAGGTCGAGACATGAATTCACCGTAAGACAGAGATGGTTGTTACCAGTAACTATAGCTGCAAGAGAGACAGCAACAGGGCACCTGGGGCCTCCGTCCCGGAGGGGCCAAGCATGGGAATCTGGGTTTGAGGCTTGCTTTTGTGCAGTCACACGTCGATGCAGAGCTGGTCTGGAGATCTCTGCAGCCCCTGTCAGTCCAGCTGACCCCTCCCTCCCACCACCTCCCAGGAGCGTGTGATGCACGAGGAGCACTTGCGGCAGGTGGAAGCCCAACTGGACTACCTGGCACCATTCCTGGCACAGCTCCTGCCAGGAGAGAAGCTGACACGCTGGCAGGCCATGCGCCTCAAGGACGAGTGCCTCAGTGACTTCAAGCAGCGGCTCATCGACAAGGCCAACCTCATCCAGGCCCGTTTTGAAAAGGTGCGGCCAGGGCTCAGTCAGGGGAGAGGATCTCAGCATCCTCACCCAGAAAATGGGCCCAGGACTGTCTGTTCACCTCTTGAAAGCTTGTGAGGGACCAATGAGAGGATGAGTATGTCAGTGCTTGGAGTTTCCCAAAGACCAAGTTGTCCTTCCTCATTCTCGTTCATTGGGTGAAAGGGTGGTTGGAGGGATGGGTGGGTAGAGGGATGGGTGGGTGGATAGGAGGATGGATAAATGGGTGGATGGGAGAGGATGGAGGATGGAGGGATGGAGAGAGGAGTGGATAGGAGCATGGAAGGAAGGTGGGAGGGAAGGATAGGAGGATGGATGGATGGGTGGATGGGTAGTGGGTAGGTGGATGGTTGGATGGTAAATTATAACAACTTCTAGTCCTTGATCCATTTCTGTTGGCCAGGTACATAAAATGTAGTTTCCACGTATTATCTCATTTAATCTTCACAAAATGCTCTACAGTGATAGTGGTAGTGGGGGGTGTACGGTGACCCTCATTCGGTGGACAGGAAACAGGTAACTCTGAAAACGTTAGTAGCTTGTCCATAGTCACATGGCTGTCTGTCTCAACCTCTGCTCTGACCTCATGAACATGGTATCCCTCTAAAAATGAGCCCAGGGGCTCCTACCCCAGACATTTTGTGGCCCCTGCCTCTGTTCCTCTGGCTTCTGTGGGTGAAGGTAGTGTGGCTGGCCCTTGGGGGCCATCTGGTAGCTAGTGGGACTTCAGCCTGCAGCCTGGGTGAGGGTCAGCCCTCATCAACCCCACTGCCCTCTCCTCCCCACGCCTGCAGGAGACCCAGGAGCTGCAAAAGCAGCAACAGTGGTACCAGGAGAACCAGATGACCATGACAGCTGAGGATGAAGACTTGTACCTGAGTTACTGCTCTCAGGCCATGTTTCGCATCCGCATCCTGGAGCAGAGGCTCAGTCGGTGAGGGGGGCTGAGGGGAGCCAGGCAGGAGCTGCTAGGATGCTGGAGCACCAGCTTGTAACACCTCACCACCTCTCGTGCTTCCCTCTGATTTCAGACACAAGGAGCTGGCCCCACTGAAGTACCTGGCTCTGGAGGAAAAGCTCTATAAGGACCCACGCCTTGTGGAACTCATGAAAGTTTTTGCTTGATGCCCCTCCTGCGGCCTCAGCCACAGCTGCCTGAGGGAAAACCTCCTGCACAGTCTTGCCCCTGTGCTCCCTTCCCCCAGCTAATGACCATCCACTCAGGTGCCTGGCCTCATTGCCTCACACCTCCTGCAGCCCTGCCTGTTCCTGCTTCTCCTGATATTCCTGTAAATAAACACTTAACAATTTGCCATTTGTACCTTATGTTTCAAAAGTTCCAGCACCAGCCTTTGTCTTCTTCCCTTCTTTATCTATAGCATGGGAAGCACCCCTCCCACCACACCCTACCTTCTTCCTCATTTGCTCCCTGTCCTTTCCATTAGGATGTTGAGTCTTTGCAGTGCCTCTGCAGATGATCCATCCCACAGCCACCTTCAAACAACTGGTTAGATCTCAATGTGGCCAGGGCGGCCCAGCTCACCGAGTGAGTATGGCAAGGCCAGTGTTCATGCTTCAGAACTTGGGGGCTTGACATTAAGGCTGCAAGTGGCTGCATCCCAACTTTTCTTACCAGCCACTATTCAGCCATCTGCAAAATGGGATGATATCATTTTACATGAGATAAATTTGTAAAGCAGAGGACTGGAAGTGGAACTCAGAAACCACTCACTAAATGTTAGCTTAAAAAATGGCCAATAGACACATGGAAATGTCAAATGCATTATTTATCAGGGAAATGAACGGCCACCATACACCCTCCAGTATGGTGTTACATAAAGTGAGTAAGTATTGGTGAAGGTGAGGCAACTGGAACTCTCAGCTTTCCTAGTGAAAGTGTGAATCAGTACAACCACTTTGGAACACCGGCCGTGTCTACTAAAACTAAACTTTGGCCTAGTAATTCTCCTCCTAGGTTCCACTCCTCCCACCCACCCACCATCCATCTATTCATCCATCACCCATCCATCCATCCAATAAACAAGAATGATGAACAACTCAACAGAAATGTATATACATATCCACCAAAAGGCATGTACTACAATGTTCACGGCAGCACTAGTAATACTAGGACCAAACTGGAAATGACCCAAATGCCCAACAAGAGTAGAATGGATACATATATTGTGGTCTTGAGACATTTTTGCCGTCGACTGGTATGGGAGAGTGCTACTGGCATCTAGTATGTGGAGGCTGCTGACGCTGTGAAACATTGGAGGAACAATGCACAGGACAGCTTCCACATCGAGTCATCTAGCCTAAAATGTCAGTACTGAGGTTGAGAAACCCTGCTCCAGCCCAGTGAAAATGAATAAACTACAATTACATGGCTTGATGTGGTTGGATTTCTCAAGCATAACAATAAAAGATTTTAGGTACAAGAAAGGTACATATTGCATGATTCCATTTATATAAAGCAAAAAGAAAACACAGGCAAAATAAATCGATAGAAGTGTATCACTATTAGGGTGTAAGGGTTAGTGAATGTAAGGGAGCACTGGGGTGGGAGGGGGTGGCTCCTAGAGTGCTGGTTAATATTCTTGACCTGAGTATGTTCAGTTTTTGAAATCCTTCAACCTTGTACACTTACAGGATATGCCCTTTGGGATATGTGTATTATACTTCAATATGAAGTGTTTTAAAATGCTGATCATGAATCCAATCAGGCTTTAACTTCCATTCAACAAGAAATTCCGGGGAAAAGGAACAAGGTAAATGACACTAGAAGCGAAAAGTTGAACAAAATTGTAATGCAGTCTTTAATTGTAATGCTGCTTCCGATGTCCTTTAAGGTAAACGGCTTGATCAATCTCTTCAAAAGATTAATGTCATTATAAAAAAAAATTGGGGGTAGGAGGGCTGAAATAGAATGAGCTTAAAAGGAGCCAAGTATACGGAATATTGTTTTCTGGTTAGAAACAAATTACAAAACATATTTTCTGGATGATTGGGTAAATCTGGACTGGATGTTAGAGAACTATGTTTCCTTAGGTGCCAGGATACAATGGTTATGTGGGATGAGGACCTTATTTTTAAGAGCTATATGCTCAGTAGTTAGTGTCGGGTGTGAAATATCTTGCTGTCCGTAACTTTCAAATGGTTCAGAAAAATTACGTGGACAAAGCACATTTGGCAAAATATCAGCAAGTGTTGATATCCAGGTGGTAAGTATATGGGTACTCATTCTACCACTAAACTATTGTACATCATCATAGTATTCTTTCCAGTTCTATTAAGTGTTTCATAATAAAAAGCTGAGGGAAAATACAGGGTGAAGAGTTTTGATTGGACTTTATTCTGCCAATCTAGTCCTCTTTTGATAGTGACGCTACGCCTCTCTTAGTCTATTTCCAAAAGTACAACATGAGGGGTGGACCCTCTTTCTGGCAGAGGTGTGGTACAGTGGAGAAACCCGTAGGTTTTGCTTTAACACGGGTTCAAATCCTGACACCATTACTTTTTAGCTGCGTAACCTTTTACAAGCACCTTCACCTGCGTCTGTTCTGTGAACAGGACAGGAATTCCCACCCCTTTAGGGTGGTCGGGAGCATTGACATCAAGCAGCCTCCAGCTCAGTGAGTGATTGGGGAATAAAGCCTCCAGGCACCGGGCTCTGGGAAGTCTGCACTACCCTCGCAACTGACAGCCTGGCCCCAGGGGCCGCTCCGGTGCCGCCCAGTTCCTGCTAAGAAGCCCCCTGACGGTGAGGCCACGAGAGGGACCCAGACCCTCGCCGGTTACGGCTCTTCCCTAAGCCCACCCTACGCACGAATCACAAATGAAGGCGGCCTTCCTCGGATTGCTAGTTGGCGGTCCCCCTTAAGGGAGCAGCCAATTCATCCATTCACCGAGGGTGCGGCCGTGGGCACGGCGCTCCGGGGCTCCACTCCGGACTCGGACCTAAGTTCTGGTTCTGTTTCCCTACAGACCTCCTGTGGGTCTTTCAAGCCAGCATCTGAACCAAAGAAAAAGAGCAAAGTCCTCGCACCACGACAGCACAGCCCCCGAGCAAAGGGAAGATGCGGGAGCTGCCAAAACGCTGACTAGCCCCACTCCAAGATGTTAAGTCCTCGGCTTCAAGCTGCTTCCGATGTCCTTTTCCCATTGGCTAGCTGGGAATTGGTTTTTCTAATAAAGTGAACGCTGATTGGTCGAACGGAGACGGTTGCTAAAGCAATTGATGCAGCCACCATTGGAGGGCGTCGCGCAAAAATTTTCAAACGCAAACTAGGTTCAAGAGAGGGGAGGGAAGGGTGGGCATGAGGAGGAGGCGGGACCAAGGAAACGAAGTCTTCATTGGGTCATTAGAGGCCGAGGGCTGGCTCTTGAATGCTCCTTCCTCGTGATTAGTCCAATCAGGAAAAGTGGGCAGGGACCTTGGAAAAGCGGCAGAAGCGCCTGCTTCGATTGGTCAAGCCTGGCAGGAGGCGGTGCTCCTGCGGCGGCTGAAAGGTGCGATAGGCTGGGGGGGCAGGGCTCTGGGCCGGAGGTTTGTTGTGAGGGTCGGTTGTCAAGCAGCGACCAATCAGGGGAGGGAATGGAGGCAAGTAGGGGTCGCGCCTAGAGCACAGCCTCGGCCTCCGGAGCTGCCCCTGCAGGTGGAGTGGGCAAGTGGGGAGGCAGCGAGGGATTGATGAGTCCTGAACTGGAAAGAGCCTGGCGGATCCGGGCCTGGCTGCGGCGGAGAGGGCGAGGGCTCTAGGCAGGGGATGCTGGGGCCCATGCCCCGCAGACTGTGAGGAGTGGGAGAATCAGGCGCGGCGGAGAAACCAGTCTCAGGATGGGGGCATGAGGGGAAGACCGGGGAGACCGGAAGCAGAGCCGGGGGCCCTCAGGAGAACTGGTGATGATGAATAGGGCCACAGGAAGCAGGAGAGTGAATGAATGGGGGATACTGATAGCAGAGAGGAAGGGCAGTAAATGGGGTCTGGCGAGGCAAGAGCCAAGTTACCGAGCCCAGGAGACAGGATGTGCACTGATGGGGGATCTGGCGTCGGGAAGAAGGGGAGGGAACAGAGGACTAGAGGGGTAAAACTGGAGAAGTCAGGAGAAAGGGGAAGGAGAGGAGAGGTTCATGGGGCAGAGGTTTGGAGGAAGGCGATAGAAGGCTCTACGAGGTGGCTTTTACAGTTGAGTCATACCGACTCATGCCCAGACTGGAGGCCTAGTTCCTAGTACTGTCCTTGGGAATTGCAGGGGCCAGGAGTAGTTAGTTCTCTTGCCTCTTGGACCCTCTTGGATTGGACCCTCAAGGCCCTCTTTGAGATTCTCCCAAGAGATTTCAGGGCCTGTCTGAAGCGCCTCTCATAAGCTCCTATGTTTAGCTTCTGGCTCCACCCCCTATCATACGTCAGATGAAACAGTGACTCCCAGAAATCTGTCTGAACTGCAGACATGTGGACTTCCCCGCCCCACTGCGGCCGCTGCACTTCAGGCAGCCAGCCTCCTGGAACAAAGCCTCCTCGCCTCCCCTCATCCTGGCCTCTGGGAGGACCTTCTTTTTCCCTGTGTTCTGAGTCACCTAGTCTGAGGTGCCCCCTCTCCAGATTCTCAAACCCAATTTGCAGTGCGGCTCTTGACTCTGGTGACATTGGTGGGTATCTATCTTTATCAAGTGGCCTTGGTGATCCAGGGAACTACAGCTACAGTTCTTCAAACCCGGAGTCCCCCAAACTCTCACCAAGTGTTTCCTAACAAGCCATCACCTCTGTTTTGTGTTCCAGCCTGGTGTTGAGCTGAGATGGTTCAAGCCTGACATTCCATGATACAGGATCCCGACAGGCGCTCACAGGCTGCTGCCGTGGCTGCTGTAGATGATTTAAGACCACAAGGCAGTCCGGGGCTGAGAGACGAGGCATTTCCTCTACCTGGATGTGTGGTAACCCCCTGCCAACTTGATTTGTGGATCTGGGGGGGATCCACCCCCACCCCACACAGCAAGTACAGTCTGTTTTGTGGGTGGAGCTTCAGGTCCCAGCCAACTGAAGGATGGCCACCCCTGTGGTCACCAAGACAGCCTGGAAGTTGCGTGAGTAGTTTTCATTTTTTATTTCTCACTGTTTGCCTCATTAGCTGCTTATAGCTGGGTGGCCTGAACCTCAAGCTTTGACTCCTATTCCTGGCACAAGGGGGGACTCTCAGGCCTTGAGTAAGATAGACAAAGATGCAAATCCTGACTTTGGCATTTATTAGCTAGATGACATTGGGCGAGTGACTTAACCTCTTTGAGGTTTAGTTTCCTGTCTGTACAA